GGATGACTTTATAGCTAAATTGGTACATTTAAATCTTACTATGAATTATTGTATGTAGCAACATGAGTTATTCGATCCATAAAGTTAATGAAATTCCAAATCTCATTATATATTATGTTTTATGCAGTTTGTGATGTGTATTTTTCAATAGATACATGTATCACTTATAAATTAATTAACTAATGGGTGAGGTAAAAAATTAATATATGCATACATGAAATCTCTAAATTGAACGTGTCGTACATAAAAGTCAATATATATAATAGTAACCTTTATGAGATGAAAAAAAAAATGTACCAAAAAAATGTGATATATGTAAAAAATATATGTGAAAAGTTAAGTTCAATTTAAGTAGAAAGAAAAAGCAAACGTCAATTTGCATACATATTTTGAGAAAGAAGCTGAATTGAGAAAATAAAATGGACAAAGTAAAAAGTTATTTAATGATATGAATTTCTATATGATGGTTTCTGTTGACGATTAGTTTTCGTCAACAAGACCTTACTGTATTACCCCGCGGTAGCCCGTTGGGTTACAGGTTTGAAACTTGTAATTTTACTGGATTTGCTAGAGTTTTTTTATTGGTGTATTATCAAAAGAAATCGTTATGTTGCTTACGAAAATAAAGACGAAAAAGTTTTATAGTGGTTCACCCTTCTCAAAAAGAGCTACATCCACTGTACTGTATTTCCCTTGTTTTGGTTCTTACAAATTACACATACAAGATCCGAGAGTCCCTTCTCACGGGGGCTTTGCTCCTTTTATAGCAGATATTACATGACCCTTGCCCAATGGTAGGCGGATTGGACCATTTGACCGTGTCTTTAATGGGGCCCATCCACTCGAGTGGCCTATGGCCTCATTTGTTTAGACCGTAGCCTGCCATTACCTTTTGGACTGTTCACTCATCTAATTTGTCCCCCCATTACGGCTCTGTAGATCCCCTGTAATAGCTAGTGATCCGTTCCATGCGATTTTAGGGGCTTGTAATCATTTCCTGTGCAACTGACCTTCTCCAAACACAGACGCAACCTTGGGATATTCAGCTGATCTTCTCAGGGGTCTTCCTTGGGATGTGGATCCAGTTGCTTGCGTTCTGCCCTCGGCGCCCATGCCAAAATCTGCCGTGGGTAGCATCTCTCACAGCCGACTCCACCACATTATTTTACACGAGCTGGTCTTGTAGGCCTCGACTGTGTATAAGGTCGACGGTATCAGTCTCCTTATGCGTTCGGCTCTCATATCATACGGGAGAGACTAATGAGGCTCGGGCGTCGAGGGCTAACTGACATGGCCGGCATGGGGCCACGTGTGGCATGATCGTTGTCCGACGTGTCGATGTGAGTTTTCCCACACAACAGCTGCCCCCCAGGTTGAGGCTTTTCTTCAGACTACCTCAAGCTAGGTCTAAGGTTTGTTCTGGTTCTCCTTTTGTTTGCTTCGGGCGCGGGAGCCTAACTCTGAACCTTTTTTACAATAATGGCCCTGGTGCTTCAAAACCCCTCGAGAAGCATAAACGTCGCGTCCGTTCAATCGACATGCTGACGTGACCTTTTATTTGAATGGATGAACCTGGGCCACTAGATCGCGACTCCTTAGCTTCCCGCCCTTCCCTTAGCCGTCGGATCAAGCTCCTGTGCTCCCATCATTATATGCGTATGTACCTGATCGGACGGTTGGGGATCGAGGCCCTTGGGTTAATATAAAGGGTCTCTTCATGTCTAAATCATTTGAAACCGTTTTGAAGCAGCCGAAACTCTGCCAAAATCCCTCCAGGATCACTTACTCCCTTTTTTCCATTTCGCGAATCTCCAGCAACATTTGTCTCAAGAGCTCGTGTACCTCTTCCGCTCCTGATTCCCTAGTAAGCATTCATCAAACTTCCTTTCCTCTTATCATGTATTTACCGTGTCTGGAACAGTGGTAGATTACTTTCTAAGTGGTGGAAATGGTTGGGAACTGACCTTAGATTTTTTCTTTACAGTAATGGCTTCTAGAGGGGTTAAACATCGAGAGGGATCATCTTTCGTGCCTCTCGTGAGGCCGGATCCAATGCCAGCCGCCGAGTCTTCCTCTTACTCTACCGCCAGCGATTCACTTTTGATGGAGGTCGAGGGTGACGTCCTTGACCCACGTGATGAGGAGGACAACGTCGATCGCCTGGTCGAAGGTGAGACCGATGGGGACTCTTCCAGTGGCGCCGGCTCCCGGGTGGGAGGCGTTATGGTCGACAGAGTGGCTGACACACGGGCATCCCTGTGGCCTCAATAGAGGCAGACGAGGACCGTCTACCCTTCACTGCTGATTTCGTGGTACCGAAGACACGGAAGAGGGATATTGTTTGCGCATATAAGAAGGGGCGCGTGGACGGCCGGTGGTTCGAGTATCTCCTACCGGATCCCCACTTTAGGGCGAGCCAAGCACCCCCAGGCTACATGTCCGTATACACCCAGGCATTTACGGTGGGGATGACACTCCCCATATACCCGTTCGTGAAGTCCTTCTGTGACCTCCACGACATCACCCCCACATAGATGGCCCTGAACTTTTGGTATATTTTTACCAGTTTGTGGGTTTTTTGGGACCAAATGTTTGACATAGACCTGCCTTTGGATGAATTTCTTTTTGTATATAAGCTTTGTCAGACCCTTAGCTGTGACAGTTGGTACATGGGCGATCCAATGCCATCTTAGGAAAATTAATAAAGGGGTTGCCCTCATCGTCACATGCCTGGAAGACAATGTTTTTTATGGTGAAAGGCATGTTCGACGTTCACCCGGCTGACAAACCCTTTAAGCGCCTAGGTGTGAGATCATCTTTTGGGACGCTGAGTAAGTTTCCTTTGACCGTCTATTACAGTTGTCATTGTCCTTTCTTTTCTTTTGTATATACCGCTGACCCTATTTTACTCTGCAGTTCCCCAGGACGGTCCCCAACATTTTGGGAATCGTCTTACAATGGTGAAGCAAGCCTTCAGCTTCCCGGAGACCTTCCGTAACGTCAGCGTCCTGCTAACGCGTGACAACTTGAAAAGTTCTCGCCTGTTGCTTTCCCTTCCTCCCCAACAACATCACTGAGGTAAAAAATTTCTTCAAGCCAGAGGTTTTTTTTTTCACTTCACATCACGTGTCGCTGGTGTGTGTTTCTGACTTCAGTTGTGATGTAGAGATGAAGACCCTACAACTGCGTGTTCCTAGCGAGAATGGGCGTTCTAAGAAGCAGAGGCCTAGCGAGAGGCCGAGCGAACCTGCTTCGGCCAGTGTCCCACCGAGGCCTCCGCCTACAGTTGAACCTCCAGCTACCCAGGAGAAACCAAGGTCGAAGAGGCCTCGACCGACTGAGGCGCCGGCGGTGGAGGCTGAACCATCGCCAGTAATTGATATTACTGATGCTCCTGAGGCCCCACCACCCAAAGAACGCATGATGCTTCCACAGTTCATCATTGCTGATGTTCCTCCGACCCAGATTGAAGCGACACTAAGTCTGCCCCCACGCTTTTCTGTCGTCTTTCAGGCTTTATACGAGTCCTTTCTTTAGCAGGACTGGGAAAGGCGACTCGGGCTTCTCTGATCGGCCACACGTGCCAGCAGATCTCTCTCTAGATCCATGTATACTTCGCCGCCTATATGTTATATGCATTTTTGTTTCTCTCTCTCTCTTCTTTCTTTTTATTAATAGATTCCTTTTGACTTGGCAGTCCCTTGTCCTCTCTCTTTTTAACTTTATCGATATGGTTAAGGTGAAAGAGAGAAGTAGGGGAATGGACCGCATCGAGGGGCGTTTGAAGGATTTCCTCAAAAAGGAGAGAGACAATAAGGAAGAAACCTCAAATAAGCTTACCCTCGCCGTCAAGGAGCTGGATGAGGTGAAAGCGGATCCAGATCGTGCCCGGAATAAGACTGAGCTTATCCGCAAACAAGCTGCTGACTCCAAGGATGTCTTCCGAAAGGAGGGATACAACATTGGCAAGCAGGAGGGCTACAACCTGGGCAAGGAAGAGGGGGTTAAGGAATTTGTTGCTTCTGCCGAGTTTGCTCGAAATAATGTAGATGTTGCTGCTAAGGCCGTCGAGGATTTTAAAACCTCTGAGGAGTTGCATCATATGCGTGCCAGTGACATGCTGTCTGTTGGTGAGCAAATTATGGCTAGAATTAACAGGCATCTCCCTGGCCTCAACTTGGATTTCCTCTACGAGCCCCCTTTTGACGATGAAGATTCTCCTGCCGTAGGCGGGGGTGACGAGGGCAACGGCAGAGCCGGGGAAGTTGCAGCTGATGGTGGCGAGGGTAGTCAAGGTGGTGGAGGCAACGAGGCCTAGGATGCTGGGAGCCAAATCATAACTTCTATTTTTTATAATATTATTTTTTACTATTCGGACAATGGATTATATAGATATATTATATGCATCTAATTGCCGTTATTTTTAAAGTTTACTAAAATTCTGCTAAGCAAATCGTCTTTCCTCCTTGGAGGAGGCAACGTTTCATTTTACCCCTTGGGGTCATCGTTTTAGCAAATTCCTTAAAATTTACTAAGTAGATCGTCTCTCCTCCTTGGAGGAGGCGACGTTTCATTTTATCCCTTAGGGTCATCGTTTTAGCAAATTTCTTAAAATTTGCTGAGTAGATCGTCTCTTCTCCTTGGAGGAGGCGATGTTTCATTGGGTTACATGTATATTTTTTGTGATCCGTAGACCCTTTACTCCCCCCATGTGTGTGTGAAAAACTTTGATTTTTAGACAGATATTTAAGGGGTTAATTTTTGGACACTTGCTATGAATAAGCTTTTTTATATTAATGAAATGCCAAACACAATTAAAGCGTGTAAGAATTCGTACACTATTGGTAGTATAGTTTTAACTGCTTTGCATTCCATGGGTGTTAAATCTGTTTGCCGGTGAGCCTTTCCAGAACGTAGGTCCTTGGACGTAGCACTTCTCTTATGAAGTAGGGTCCTTCCCAAGTCGGGCCCAAGGGGCTAGTATTTTTTGGTTTGGTATTCTACGTCAGATTTTCTGGGACAAACCTTCTTCGCTTGACCTTCTTATCGAAGTATCGGGATGTCCTCCTTTGGTAAGCGGCGAGTCGTAATTGGGAGTCGAGCCTTTTTTCTTCCAATAGGTCGAGTTCTCCGTTCATGGCCTCTATGTTTATGTCATCGTTGTTCATGACCGTTCTTAGAGTCGGCATCTCAATCTCCACAATAAGTACAGTCTTGACTCCGTATGCCATAGATAATGATGTTTCGTCCGTGGTGGTTCGACTCGTCGTTCTGTATGCCCACAAGACATTTAGAAGTTCTTCGGCCCATTTTCCCTTTAGGCTGTCGAGCTTCTTCTTCAGGGTATACTTTAGGATTTTGTTGATGGCCTCCACTTAGCCATTAGAATGCAGGTGTATTAAGGCTGAGAAGTCATTTTGTATGCCTAAGTCATCACAAAACTTGTGCGTTGAGGCATTGTCGAACTGCTTTCCGTTATTAGACACGATTGAGTGTGGAACGCCGAATCTACATACAATGTTGTTCCATATGAAGCTGGTGCAAGCTGCCTCGGTAGTCGAAGTAAGAGCTTTCGCCTCGGCCCACTTAGTGTAGTAGTCCACAATGACGATAGCGAACTTAAGGCTTATGAGTGCAAGGTGTAGAGGTCCGATCAGGTCAATCCCCCATTTTGTAAAAGGCCATGGGCTAAGAATAGAAGTTAGGTTCTCTGGAGGTGCTCTAGGAATTGTGGCATATCGTTGGCACTTATCGCAACACCGAGCGTATTGAAACGCGTCTTTTTTAAGCGTAGGCCAATAGTACTCTTGCCTTAAAACCTTAAGAGCTAGAGATTTTCTCCAGTATGATTACCACACACTCCTTCATGGATCTCCCTGAGTACCTCTTGCGCCTCATGATCATTTAGGCACCGCTACAAAGGCGTTAATAAGCCTCGTCTGTATAGCAAATCACCATATAGTAGGTATCTGGCGGCTCTGTACCTGATCCTTCTGGCTTCGTCTCTGTCATTGGGCAGCTCTGCATTCGTCAAGTACCGGACGAGGGGTGTCATCCAATTTCCAGCTGCCTGAATAGTCAGGACTTCTACCGCTTCGTCAATGGTCGGCCGTTCCAATTCTTCGATGGGAACGACCCTTACTAGGTCTAAATCCTTCAAGGATGCTAGTTTGGCCAAGGCATCGGCATTTGTATTCTCGGCTCTTGGCACTTGTTGTATCTCATAGCTTTTGAACTTTGCAAGCTCTTCCTTTACCTTCCTCAGATAGGCCCCCATTCTTTCTCCCCGTGCCTGATATTCCTCCTTCACCTGCCCGACCACTAGTTGAGAGTCACTAAAAATTTTGAGTCTCTCAATCTTTAAATGACTCGCTAACTGTAACCCTGCGACCAGCACCTCGTACTCTGCTTCATTATTGGACGCCTTAAATTTGAATCGTACCGCTAAGGTGATTTTGTGATCCTCTGGGTTTATTAGCATGACGCCAGCTCCTGACCCAATTTCATTTGACAGTCCATCCACGTAAAGCTTCCATCTTATTTCCTTAATTTCTCCGTCAGTGACTAACACCGGTCTATGGGAGAACTCGGCCAGGAAGTCCGCCAGTGCTTGTCCCTTGATTGCCGCCCTCGGTATGTATTCGATGTCAAATTGACTCAGCTCTACCGACTATTTCAAGAGTCGACCCGAGGTTTCAGGCTTTTGTAACGCTTGCCTTAGCGGGTGGTTCGTTAGGATTTGTATGGTGTGGGCCTGAAAATAGTGCTGAAGCTTCCTCCAGACCACCATCAATGCAAGAGCTAACTATTCCATCTGGGTATATCTTGACTCAGCGTCTAGGAGCCTCTTGCTTACGTAGTAGACTAGTAATTAGATCCCTTCTTCTCTTATCAGTACTGAGCTTACGGCATGCTTTGATACAGAGAGTTATAAGCTTAGCTTCTCGCCTAGTATGAGTTTTGATAGGATATGAGGTCTGCCAAGGTGCTCCTTCAGCCTCTGGAAGGGCTCTTCACATTGAGGTGTCCACTCAAAACGCTTGCCTCCCTTCAAGATATCGAAGAACAGAATGCATTTATCAGCCGCCTTAGATATGAATCTATTAAGGGCAGCGACGCATCCTGTCAGCCTTTGGACCACTTTTGGTTTCATGGGAGACCTTATATCCTGCAAAGCTCTTATCTTCTCTGCGTTGGCCTCTATTCCGCAGTTACTGACCATGAAGCCAAAAAACTTTCCTGACCCGACCCCAAAAGCGCATTTCAAAGGGTTTAGCTTCATGCGGTATTTTCTTAACACACCAAACATTTTGCCCCAATGGTCGACGTGCTGTCTTGCCTTGATGCTTTTTACCAGCATATCATCGACATATACCTTCATCATTCTTTCGATTTGTTTAGCAAACATCTTGTTTATTGTTGATACCCAAAATTTTACAAGGTAACGGCCCGACCCAGATCTAATAAATACAACTCTAGGTATGGTACGTGGACCCAAGCCACGTTTTGGGGACTTCTATGTGGGCCGTGGTTTGGCAGGCCAAGGAATGTGACCGGGCCCATTTTTATCCAGCCCAATTAGATCCTTGGCCCTCTTGGGTCTATAAGGGAATTAGGATAACGTGGGTTATGGATGAAATTAGATAGAGTAAAACAAATTACCTGAGCTTACAGTCGCTACCTTTACAGTTCCAAACCTTTTATAAATAGTCTAGAAAAGCCTGTTAGTCCATTACCTTGCACTAAGAGACAAAATAGCATTTTTCCCCATGTATTTCCTTTTTGTCGCTCACTGCCCTTGCCTTCCCAGGAGTCAAACGCAGTCTCTTCCCTAAAAAACTCTAAGGAGCCAGAATATACACAAATAAGAGAAGGCAACCTTTTGACTACGTGGCTGCCACCCTCTGAGCTCACCCAAAATGGCCATAGAGCCCCATTTGGCTGCCCAATAACCTACTTATTCATCTCTTAGGTAAGCCTTCCTCTGGGATCAACGAAAGTTATCCTTAAATCACACTAGAAATGCCTTACTGACGGAGACCTTTGGGGGGATTTTAGCCAAAGTTCAAAACGGTTGGAGGGAAAAATTCCCTCCCCTTACCACGTTCTTGGTCTATAAATACTGTTGTCAAAACCTCTCAAAAGAGGACACTGGGAAAAGGGAAGAAACGCAGGTCAAAAATCCCATGTTCTGGCTAATTTCCCTGGATTTTTAATTTCTATCAGAGCGACCGATGGAGAATTCTATTCTCCATAACTTCCTGCGAAGTCCCTCTACAACGAGTTTCTAGGCGTTCTCCCCATTGGAAGTGGTAACAAAAGCTCCCCAGAGCATCGAAGTCCCTTAACCATGTCCTAACACCCGCCAAGACCGAGTTTTTATCCCTCTATATACTACATCCGTCGGAGGCATTGTGTTCACAAATAGGGAGATATAACCTCATGGTGGTCTCAGAGCATCTTCCAAAGGAGGCATAGAATTTCTTCCTTCCAATCGCTCGACAATGGTCGTTAGTCCTCGGACCAAGTCGGTCAGAGTGTTCAGTTGGGCCTACATCTGTACCGGGTCAAGCTGTGGCGTGCCTGTGGGTGGAGCTTCATCCCTCGCCAGGGGCTGATTTCCCTGGTCGAGCTTATTCCTCCCACTCCCACTGTTGGTTGGATGCATGGTATTTTCCTCCGTTTGGCTGTTTTGATTTGAAGCACCATTTTTTCTTCTCAGAGACATGATCGTTTGTGGTCTGGGGTTAAACACGTGAACCAGAGATTCTGGGTTCACTCCTCAGCGGAGTCGCCAATTGTTGACAGTCGGTTTTCGTCAACAAGACCTTACTAGATTACCCCGCAGTAGCCCGTTGGATTACTGGTTTGAAACTTGTAATTTTACTGGATTTGCTGGAGTTTTTTATTGGTGTATTATCAAAAGAAATCATTATGTCGCTTATGAAAATAAAGACGAAGAGGTTTTATAGTGGTTCACCCTTCTCAAAAAGAGCTACATCCACTGTACTGTATTTCTCTTGTTTTGGTTCTTACAAATTACACATACAAGATCCGAGAGCCCCTTCTCACGGGGGCTTTGCTCCTTTTATAGCGGATATTACATGACCATTGCCCAATGGTAGGTAGTTTGGACCATTTGACAGTGTCTTTCATGGAGCCCATCCACTTGAGTGGCCTATGGCCTCATTTGTTTAGACCATAGCCTGTCATTATCTTTTGGACTGTTCACTCATCCAATTTATCCCCCCATTACGACTCTGTAGATCCCCTATAATAGCCAGTGATATGTTCCAGGAGGTTTTAGGGGCTTGTAATCATTTCCTGTGGAACTGACATTCTCCAAACCCAGACGCAACCTTGGGATATTCAGCTGATCTTCTCAGGGGTCTTCCTTGGGATGTGGATCCAGTTGCTTGTGTTTTGCCCTCGGCGCCCATGCCAAAATATACCGCGGGTAGCATCTCTCACGGCTGACTCCATCACGTTATTTTGCAGGAGCTAGTCTTGCAGGCCTCGACCGTGTATAGGGTCGACGGTATCAGCCTCCTTATGCGCTCAGCTCTCATATCATATAGGAGAGACCAGTGAGGCTTGGGCGTTGAGGGCTAACTGACGTGGCAGGCATGGGGCCACGTGTGACCTGATCGTTGTCTGACGTGTCAAAGTGAATTTTTTCACACAACAGTTTCTATTTACATTTAATCTACTAAATAATTTATCTTCTCCTTTAAGATTAAGCCTTAAAAGACTTAAGAGAAAAATATTATTTTGTATACTTACTGAGTTTATTAATTTAGTACATCGATTAGCTCCGTTCACTTCGCTGATTCGAGTTTAGAATTCGAGTTGAGATGTGATTTTATGTGAGAGCTTTTTACTGTAGCAAAAAAGTTAGATGTGATTGTTTGTGAGAGCTTTTTACTGTAGAAAAACTCGAATTCTAAACTCGAATCAGCGAAGTGAACGGTTAATTTAAGACCAGAAGATTTTATTATTTAAATGGTGTTGTTAATTATCAAACATTTACTTATCGAGATCTAACTGTATGTATGTTTGTGCCAAGACTTATAAACTTCCAATATTTGTCAAAATTTTATTAAGAATACGCCACAATCTCCTTGAAATCAATATTATTATCATTATTTTTTGTTCATATTCACCAAAAATTTTCCGAAGTTTTACAAGAAAATTTTTTACACCAACAATATTTCGTGACTCTGGAATCAGACAGTAAATGCTCTTATGGGCTACTATAGATTTTTGGACCAGGACCTAGAATTTAAACACATTAATTAATTTCTATACACGAGCAAAAACAAACAGCAATAATTACTTTATTCATGGCAATTAAAGTCATTAATTAACAACCTGTACATAAGCAAGCTTTCAAAAACTGAAAGTGAAACATAATGATTATTCATTACAGTCACATAATCAATTAATATGTTTTCTGTTTTAGAAGCTCATGTTTAAAACACAATGGGCCATGTATAACGTTTGTTTCTCCTTACATATTTTGAAGAGTAAGAAAACATTTTTACTTTAATTTACTTTCTGTATCATTAATTCAATTTTCCCTTTTTGCGTTTTTGTTATTGAAAATGGAAATAAATTATGCAATAAATTTCTTCAATGACACTTGTTTTAAATCCTCTCAAGTCTTTGTAAGCTTCTTTCACTTTACAGCCAACAATTTCAATAACAACATCACAAAAAGGGAAAATGACATGAATATATAGATCAGAAATATATCATCTCCCTATATTGTAATATTAAAAGTAATAGCAAGTAGGCTTTAATATCCTACTAATATTTACACTTATACTTAAAACAATTTTATTTATCCTATTTGGCCAACACTATATTATAACAACAACAAGAATTATATATAAAATAATTATACATACGTGTGTGTATTTATATGAGTTTTAAATGGTTACGTTTTTAATAATAGTTACTATTAAATATAAAAATTTGATGATATCCATGATAATATATGAAAAATAAACTAAACTAATACACAAATTGATGATGAGTCGTTTTCTGTCACATTATGTTGGGAGAGTAATCAATCCATTTATTATTTGTTTCCTTTATTTATTCTTCAACATGATAAGTCCTCTTTTTTTTGCATTCCTTTAACGACGGTTAAGTGGGAAAAATATTGATGAAGATATATATATATATATATATATATATATAGAGAGAGAGAGAGAGAGAGAGAGAGAGA